ACTCATGGAAAATGGAATCACCTCTCCCAAAGTATTCCGATCAACAGCCTTATCAATGATCCCATCCACTCCGACCAAATCAAGTCAACAACCATCCTTACAGACTTCCCCAGCGGGTGGATTGAATTCTCCCTTCAAAGAAATTCCTTCTCCTCTCGTTCGTAACTGCACTGCTATTGAGCCAAGGAGAAATATTCAATCCTCTGCAAATAATGGAATGGGAAAGATCACTCGCCAGGTGAGTGCCTCCTCTTCACCGTCTTCGTCGTCGTCGTCCTCTGCAAGCAGTACGAGCAGTAAGGGATCGACCACCCCAGTAAAAAGTCCATCATGGAGGAGTTGAAAATTGATAAGGTCAAAAACTCATTGCATCGCAGTATATCTGTTCATGCCATTCCATCCATAGCTAACCTTTGTGACAACCTATTCAATAATCAATCTCGTAAACTCTCCTATTCTTCAGCAAGTGCAAGGCAAACGACCCACCATGGAAGATGAGCACTTCTTTGTGAAGAACATTGAAGAGGCTCTTAGCCAACCTCCAAATTTTCGATTTCATGCCATGTTTGGTGTTTTTGACGGGCATTGCGGACCTGAATGTGCACAACATTGTAAAGAGGTAGGTTTTGAAAATGATCTGACCTTGTTGAAGATGTTACCTTGATCATTCTATTTTGAAAATGCTTTTCTGTATTGACATTCTTCTCGCAAACAAAATATTACTTTTCTTAACGATCGACAAATGACGAAGAACTTATTTCAAATTTTGGCAAGTAATCGATTTTTCCTTCAGGACATTGTTAGGGCCTTTGTTGAAAGGTAAGTCCATGACATGCATTTTGCATAAACATGACCACAAATTATTCCTTGCCCCTCATTAACTTTGATTGGTTCTACCAGCTTTGAAGCTTGTGACATTGAATTCAAGCAAAAGTTGTTCGGAGGTTCAGACGATTCGCTCTTTTCAGCAGAAGAATATTATGCTGGTTGTACAGCCAATGTTTGTGTTTTAAGGAACGATGATTTATATGTCGCAAACCTTGGAGACACAAGGTGTGTTCTCGCCCACAAAGGTTTTGCTATTCAACTTTCAGAAGATCACAAACCAAGCAATAAGGATGAGAGGATGAGGATTGAAAAAAACGGAGGAATTGTTTCATTTGGAAGAGTGAATGGAGCTCTTGCCGTATCAAGAGCCTTCGGAGATTTTGAGTTTAAAAAGAAGGGTTCAAATCTTGTGAGCGTCGTTCCTGATGTTTCTCACTTTACACTAACCAAAGACTCTGATTTCATCATTATTGCATGTGACGGTCTTTGGGATGTCATGTCCTCGTCTGAAGCAGTCAAGAACGTCTATAATTATCTTCAACAATTCAAAGATCCAAGAAAAGCTTGTGAAAAACTTGTTGAAAAAGCTCTCAAGGATGGTTCCATGGATAACATTACTGTTATTTTGATTTTGTTGAAGGAGTTGAATAAAACGTGATCTTTTGTTGAATCTATCGATACGCCTTCTTATGCGTGCGCAACGACTTTCGCTGGACTAATTCTTGTCCATTATCCAAGCGAAGCTCTGCTCACACATCCAGCGAAAAACTCGTTGCTCACACATAAGACTACTGTGTAGATTGAAGAGGCGAATTCATGAAATAATTTTCAAAATTAAAAAATTAAAAATGCTCTCATCTCTTGCGCAGTATGGTTCTGATTCCGAAGATGAATCATCAGCATCATTCGCTCCAAGCAGAGCAACCAACATGTCTTTGGCTACAAACAACAAGAGCAATGCTGAAAAACGAAATTGAATAATAATATCAAACAACAAGAGGAAGCAGTAGTCGTTACGACAAGTACGAAAAAGCAATCCGATCAAGAGGAAGTGATTATTGAATCCATAGATGATGAAGTTGGAGTATCAAATTTTAATTATAAATCAACTTCATCAAGGACAAATAATTATTCCGAATCTCCAAATCAACCATCGAATTTTGTGCATAACGCTCCTTCTACCACCAAAACAACCACAAACAATGTTTCATCATCGTCTTCATCAACAACCACGATAACGGAAGGTAAAAGAAAAACAAAGAGAAAGAAGGTTCCGAGTGCTCAAAAAGCTCTCTTGATGCAACTCGCCGAGCACTCACTTTTAATAATTCTAAAGAATCATCTGAAACAACAACATCAACAACAAATAAGAGAAAATTGTTTGAAGAACAAGAACGATTTCTCGATGATGACAGCGATGAAGAACTCAACGATGAGGAGGATCACATGTTTCATTCAACCACACCAGGTAAAAACAAAATCGGAGACCACGAAGGAAGAAGTCTCTTCGTCGGATCACGAAGAAAAGGATACTACCAAGTTATACTTTCCAAAATCAAAAGATAGATTACCCTTGAATGAACAAAATGAAGATGAATATAACCTAGGACGAGAGGAAGAGGACGAGGAAGAAATTTATAACAGCCTGAAAGACATTCAAGAGCAAGATAATACAAATCCACAATCCATTCCCGAAGATATTCTCGCAGAAATGAAACGTCAAGGCATTGATGTGGGGATCAACTAGGACAAGTCGAAATTGTGGACGTGGGAGAACATGGAGCGAGTGAGTTGGTGAATTTAGAGGTGGAAAGAAGAAGAGCTCTCATTGAAAAACACAAGCGAGAAATTTACATGACAAAGGATGAACAAGAAGCTCTCAAACAATTTAACTTTACAGTGGAAGGAGCAGGAAACAAGCACCGTGTTAAGGTTGCAAAAACAAAAAATCAAATTTCATTCCTCGCCCAACAAGCAACAGGACGAGAATTGGAAATGGCTGAGAGATTGGAAAAATCGAGACAAAGCAATTCCTCTGCAAAGAAGAAATATGGATGGAGATAATGCATCATGATGATAATAATTGAAACAATGCTTTTCATGGTGGAAGTGTGTGCTTGATGAAAATTTTGTGAGTGACTGCATATGAAATTGAAAATGAAGGAAACAAAGATGCATCTGTATCATGTAAATTACTGTAAAGATTTTTTCTGCAGTTCTTTCCCCTATTTTCATATGAGACAATAATACAATCATTCCCTTGTTTTTCCATGTGGAAATGGTGAGAAAAGGTATGCAGATGATAAGAGTATGATGTGTAGACTGATATGATTGTTGACATTTCCACAAAGTGGACCAACCAAAGATACGCATGAACGGATATGACATGGATTTTATTCCCACTTCTTGACATCACCTTCATCACGATTCACTCCATAACTGGAATCCAAAAGTACGACACACTAAAAGCAACCAAATACAACACAAAGATCAATGGCACTAAATCAGGAGGCACCGGAGACCCATCCACCACCTGATCTGCTCTCTTTGAAGTGTCATCTCCAAAGTAGGCATACACATTCACTGCTGTCGCTGTCAAACCATACACCACAAAGGCACTCCAAAACTTTTGATCTGAATTTTTCCAAAATTCCAATCATTCCCAATCCAATCCTTACCGAAGTGAATGGAGGAAAGAGAGTGACATCAGGTCTGTGTACAAGGACATCCAACACCCAATGTGAAACCACACCTAAAAACAGAACGCCATACAAGGACAAGAAGGATCTGTGATGATGATGAAGATTGGACACGCTCTTCTTAGAGTTGAATTTTTGAACCATTGAATACAAGATGGTAAGAATGAATGTCAAGATCAAAGAACCTGTCAAGGAATGTGAATATTCCGAATGAATATCGGAAGGAAAATGGCATTCCTTCTCATTAATTCCACATTAAATGTCGCATGTTCATGACACAGAAAATCATACGGACACTCGTGCGACACGTTCATTTGACACAATAATTGAAGTGTGAAATAGGCAATATCGATGAGTTGTGTGGAAACCAAAAGCCACACCAAACTCACATCGGGAAAGAAGAAGTGAAGAACTCCAGCGGGTCCGTAATGACCTTGAAACATTTTTTAGTGGTTGGTGGCATGTTGTGATTTCGTTGTTGTTTGGATTGAAAATGGTTGGGAATGGAAGGATTTGAGATTGAGGATCAGATTTTGCGATGGAACTTGTCCTTACGTGTGAATATGCGCAAAAATTGTCCACAAAGTCACTTTGAGCGTGTTACATTGTAACAATCACTCTCTGTCTCTATTACGGTTTTTTCACTTCTTTGAAGATGATATCTTTGAATCATTTCCTTTTTAGAATGTTCATCGACTTGATATCAAGTCGAGCAAGAATTCTTATCCAAACAAAAACAAAATGCAACAACCCTTACCACACCAACCAGAGACTTCTTCTCATCCACAGCTCCACCAACAACAACAATCTCCACCAAATACTCAAGAATTCACCTCTCCCATTCTTAATTCCTCTCAAGACAAGAACAAATCCAAGTCATTAGCAACGATCACATTAATGATACAAGAGGATGATGATCCTCCCCACCCGTGTGCAGTGTCTAATTCCAACGTTTTGGAACCATCACAACCTCAACATGGAGAAACTTTAATTGAAAAAATCCTGAACGAATGACTCTTGCAACCACAGTTGGAACGAGCAACAACAACAACAACTCCATGATCATCATCAATCCTTCTGATGTCGTTCCTGCAGGTCAGAATTCCGATTCGCACTTTCGATCCTTTCTTTCAGCACTTTCCTTTTAGTGTTCACTGAAAAACGTTTTACAATTTTTCAAACCTCAACATGAGAGAATTTGTTCCATCGAGTCATTCTGTGGTGGCCAACAATGCTCCAAATGATGATGAGGATGCACGAGGAGGTCAACAAAGACATGTGGAATCACCGATTGCTCAAAATAATGTCACAAATTCGAGAATTTGGAAAAAAGAAACGTTTTCACTCATCCACACATCATGAATCAGATTCAAGAAGACGAAACAACAACAACAACCAAAACCACACAGGACCAACACAACCAATTCCAATCCTCATTTCCTCAGTTCTTCCTACAATTTAAAAAGAATTTTACTCCAAATCCACAACCTGTCACATTGTCTTTGATTATGTGATGGAATGGCTTGTCGTCCTCGTGACAGGTGTCATTGCTCTCATTGTGTTCCATGTTCCATATCCTCAAACCTTGTACTTTCGTTTGGATGATCCACGTATTGGTTATCCCAATTTGGGAGTTCAGACAATTCCATTTAATTTGATTGTGATTGTGTTTGTGGTGAGTGTGCCGATTGGATCCTTGTTGGTGTTTCAGTTGGTGTTTATAAGGAATATTCATGATTTGCATCACATGTTATTGGGATATATTCAGTCCTTGTGTAAGTTGTATAATATTTTTGTATACATTGTTTTTGATGTATATATATGGAAAAATATAATATATAATAATAATATTTACAAATATATAAAATATTATTGCAAATATGGAAACTTATTTAATATCCTAATTTGAAAAACACACTTCCAGGTTTCAGCATGTTATTCATGATGTTCTTTTGGTTCTTCTATCCCGATTACCGACCAAGTTTTCTCTCCGAATGCAATCCTATTCCGTCTCGAGTTCAAGCTCTTCACAAACAACGAGCCAATCCATTCAATTCCATTACCTATTATTTACCTCAAGAGATTTGTTCACATCCGGAAAGATATTTAGGCATGAAAGTGAATATCACTCCAGCTTTCCCGAGTGGACATGCTTCGAATTTGTTTGCTGTATGGATTTATGTCTTGTTGTACTTGTTTGCGAAAACAAAGGCTGTAAGTGTTGAAAGTGCGGTTTGTGTTTGATTTCATTGTAAAATAATATTACTGAATTGATTGATGGTTGTTGTGGAATGTAAACTTTTATGGAACTCTTGTTGAATTGATGGTTGTTGTGGATGATGATGATGCATGGATGGATTGTGGAATTGTTGTTGAAACTAAATAGCTCTCCTTAATGCAAGATCGAAACAAGTACAATCATAGAAATGGTTCTCTCACAAGTACTGCTCGAAGAGGAATTCTCTTCTTTCCATTTGTGACTTTATTGATATTGGCATGTGCTGTTTGGATTGGGGTATTTTCTCGAGTGTTGGATTATCAACACACGTGGACTCAAGTTATTGTTGGAACCATTATTGGGGTGTTTTGTGGGGTTTGGTCTACATGTACAAGTTTGGAAGTTTGTTTGGACATAATTCACACATACCATTGTATTATTATTGGAAAGAGGAGTATGAAAGTTCTTATGAAAAACCAGATGAAGAAGCTTCAAATGAAATGAACAGACGCCCTTAATGTTTTTGTATGCACACGAATCTCTTTAAATGCCAAACGGACAACAAAAACAACAATCTACTCGTTTGCACCACATTAAATTTTTGAGCATATTAAATGAAATTGATTTGAATTGAAAAATTATTGGAATCATGTTTTATATTTCATACACAAATTGCTTACTTCTTTTCAGCCTTGTCCTTGTTTCCTTTTCCTCCTGATTTGTTGTAAATCATTGACACAACAGAAACAGGAACAGAGATATAACTGGTTTCCCATGGACTCCAAGGCCAATAAGGATACAATGAACTCGATTGCGCACCATAGATCAGATAACAGAATTGAGCACTCAAGAACTTAGACAACGCCTTATTTGGATTGTTGACTTGAACAATAAACTCTTCTCTTGAAGGTTCACTTGGAGGCTTGAGTTTGGAAAGAATTCCTGGCAATGGTGGACCTGGTAAACTGATTCTTGGCAAGCCTGGTAAACTTAGACCTGGAATCTTCAATTCAAGCAAGTTAAGACCTGGCAAGTTGTATTTACCAAGGTAACCAGCAATGGCCTTCAAAATAGCAGCGACAAGTACTGGTGGATATGGATCAAATTTGATATGAGGAACTGCAACAGAGCTCAATTGTTCAATAAGGTCAGGCAACTTGGGGAATGTCTCACCAGTGGCCAAATTCTTAACTGCAGTATTGTCAAATTCAGTCTTATTCTTGTAATTTTCCAAAGCTCCCTTCAACAAGGCCATCATGTCTTGATAGGGCAACTCCTTTGGTTGTTCAAATTCGAGTAGGTGTTTTACCAGATTGTTCCAAGTTGTAGACAGCATGGTTGATACTTCTGATGAGAGAACTGATGGTAATAGAACTTGGAATTTCCAAATCCATATCGTCATTGTACTGCTCCAAAATTTCACAAATTTGAAGAAGCAAATTAGTTAGCTTCATGTTAGGCAAGTTTGGAAGATCCAATTCAACAGTCTCTGAGAGTGTGTCAAACATTTCAGAAGCAACCTCCAAGGAATGGGCCACATTGGCTTGTGGAAGACCATTCACGCTGACTTGGGTATCAACCTTGTCTTTGTACAAACTGGTGGCAGCTGTTCTAAGCAAGAATCCAGGGCTGTTGAATTTTGGCAAACCAGGAATATCAACAACAGGTTCCTTTTCAGTTCCGATGGCCTTTGTAAGAACATCTTCAACAAGGAATTTCAAAATCTTGAAAACAAACTTTTGACTGCCTTTGAAATGGCCTTTTCTGTCATTCTTTCCTTCATGGATGTAATGATATTGGTATAAATCTTGAGACCATAGTTTGACAAATCCTTCATCAAGTCTTGAGCAGCGTTTGCAATAGCGCCCGCAGCACCTCCGACCACTTGAATGTTGTCTTCTCTGAGAGGGCCATATCTAGTGGAGTAAATGTTGTTATAAACATAACGGTGAGCTCTTCTCTTGATGAGTTCCTTCTTCTTGTAGTCAAAGGCAAATGTGTAAAGAGCCTTGTTGGTAATAACAGCGAGACGAGTTTGTACTTGTCCTCTAAAGTTAGTCTTGTTGATCGAGTAGGCCTTAATGACTGTCTCTGGGAATGGTGCGTCCTCGTTGTATTCTTGTTTCTCTTCGCCTTCCTCTTCTTCGTGGATAGGTTCATCTCCATCTTCGTCATCATCTTCCTTCTTTCTTCTTCCTTCTTATCTTTTTATCCTTCTTTTCATCCTTCTTGTTACTCTTACACATGACTTCCTTATAGTATGTTTTCAAGCAAATTTCAACAGCTTCTTGATCGATTTCGTCCAATTGAGGGAAGCATTTTCTCTTTGAGAGTTCAATGAGTGGCTTCAAGTTTCCATATCTGACTGCACTAGAGGAACAAATTTCGCGAACAGCACGAACCAAAATGTCCAATTTCTCATTATCTAGAGTTTCATTATTTTCAAAAGCTTGATCAGCCTCGTCGAGGATGCATCCATAAGCAACTGCTCGTGTTACATCGTAGCTGTAAATATAACCCCAATATTCTCTGTAAACACCTCTCATTTCCAATGTTCCATTGGTCAACATGGCATAGCTGTGCCAATATCTCTTCTCAACACCGTCATCCTCGGCATTGGAAAACACAACTCTCTTGAGAGATTTCTTCAATCGTTCATGTGTGACTGGATAATCGGACTTGGCCCATCTGAAAGCACGAGGCAATGTTTGAAGGGAGTACCAACAATCCCAACGAGCTGTTGTTGTGTTTGTTCAAATAATTTTACAAGTTAATTTTACAATGTTCCAAGTGAGCGATGAAAATGAATGTGCCAATGAAATTCAACATACCCATATTATTCAAAGCAGAGTCCATATTTCCAGCGTTTTGGAAACTTTGCCAATCAAAAACAATTTCAATATCAAAGTTTGGATCGTCGACTTCTCTCTTGATTTCCTCCTTAGTCTTGGCAATACGATCCTCCAAAACCTGCTTAAAATAGGATGCACTCACTCCGAACAAGGCGTTCAGAGTCTCACTCACATAGGAATAACTTGGAACACCGGCGGCACCCAAACCTAACTGAACAGAAATTGTCATTGCTCCATCCTTCAAAGTAATGGTTGGTTTGGTTGGATTCTCAGCTTCTTCCAGTTTTTGTTTGTGTTTCTCTGCTGTGGTTAATTCTTTTCCGACTGGTTTTGGTGGTGGAACAGCAATACATTGAAGTCTAACTTGAGCCAATTGGCGAGCAATGACTTCACGGGCATTTCCTCCATACTCTTGAATCATCGTTTGGAGAGTATCAACAATTTTACCGAGAACCAAGAATCCATTCCACGAGCACAAGACTTCGTATGAGAAAGGAAGGAGATCTTGTTGAATATTTTGTTCAAAGGTAGCCCAATCCACAACAATGGAGACATCAGTACCGAGGCATCCCTGAAGACGGATTGAAGTTGTCCAATCTGCCCTTGGGCTTCTTGAATGATGAGATCAAGTTCTGGCATTGTACTATTAAAATGTGAGGTTGCAATGGTAATTAATCAAAATTTCGGTGAGTGTTATCATTGATGATAGAGTGAAAAGGAGTCGTGTGATATGAAAATGAGAGAATTTGGTGGTCAGACCAGAGGGTTATAATCATCGTTAACGCGACAATAATCGATGTAATCATTCATGGTGGTTCAACAAGATGATGAAACATTGTTAAACCGGATAGGAAATGGGTATCATCCAAAAGGTGATGTTTCAGCCAAACAGGTATCATATAGACAGTGAAACAGGTGTACAAGGAGTAGAGGAAGAAGTAACCATGAGATCAAAACACAAGATGAGAGGAAGCGATGACAATATCATCATAGTCGTGCCAATAAAATCACAGGATCATCAGGCAAATTATAATTTTCGTTTGTTATCCAAAATGAATAGGATAGAATTAGTCGTAAAAGGCTTTGTTGCCCCACCAACACTACCACCAACCTCTACGTACCACTTGAATGTTTATGAAAAGTGTGTTTCGGCCACAAGGTGTTTTGAGAATTTTTATTCGCTCAAAAATATTCTTCATCCAGTTTGAATTACCATACATATGCGCCAACACTAGTGTTCCGTGGAGTTCCAGCACCAACCGGCCTATCCGCAATATTTGAGAGGTTAATTGCAGAATGGAAGAAGACCTCTGAATTTGTGTTCAAGACATGACGTACAGAAGCAATGAGATGCAGATTCATCATGTCAGTGTTCTTGTCTCAGTACTGAAACGTTCAGCGTCAGCGCTCACTTGCCCGCTACAAAGAGGAAAATAAAGCCAAACGCTCCAACCATCAACAAGATCAACAACAGGGATCCCATCAGTAAACATTGTCTTTTGAACACAAATCTCAACAGTATAAATACGTTTCAAAAGCATACCTAAAAAATAGTTTCCACACATTTCAGTTTCCGTCATCCAACCAATAGTCAATGAGCTACACATGAGAATTCACACACAAAACCCGACTTACCTGAAACCATCTTGCATATTAAGAATAGTATAAAAGTAATTCGCAACAATCTCTGTGGTGCTTCCAGAAGAAAAGATGCGATACAACATGAGATCCAATAGGGAGCTATCATGTACTTTTGCCATCGACAACTTCGAGTAGCTCTTCGAGTGTTATTGTGGAAAGTTCGTTGCGACGACTTGGAGGAAGCCTTTGGTAGCCGATCTGGAATCTCTGTGTCACAATATCGAATATCATCCGACGAGGTCATGAGCCACGGAATGAACAACATGTAGTGAATGGCTTGTTGAAAATTTGAACAAAATTCATAGTCAAAGACTCTGGAACTCTTTGAATGCAGAGAGTGAGTAGTACTACTGCTGGTCGGATTCTTCTCCAAGGTGATGAGAGAGTGATGTGATTCGCCATTGGGGTGATGTTCATCTTCTCGAGGCAGAGATGAAA